TATATATATGCATTATAAATATTCTAATGTAAGTATGTTCGAATTTTCTATTATATGTTATTTAATATGGATTATCAACTCCAAGGCCGTGTTGAAGGAGATAGATGACTGGAACTATTGTCTCGGGACCCAGGGCTGTTCAGGATTTTTGAAATTCCTTGCACAAAGAGAAATGCTTTTGAATTATTTTAATGCTCAAAGTTTCTTTTTTATATATTTATATAGATTTACGATATCCTACAATTTCAGTGAAAGAATTCCTCCCTTTTAGTTAATGTTAACAAAATTATGAACCAATATACATTTGTTTTAAGTTAAGGTGTTTCAGGACTGTTGAGATTTGCGCAAAAGCAAAATATTTTATCATTCATTAACAGGAGACGACATAGTTAGATTGAAAATATATTAGAATCCTTTTTTTTTTTTTTTTTTTACTATAAATATAAATATGTGTAAGGTACACAAATATGTTCACAATTTTAGAAAGCTCTCAAATTTATTTCGTAGGGAACCAACATTTTTTTTTTGAATATCTGCTTTATTTCAAAAATGAATTCCATTTACTCACAATTAAAGATGCAAAAATAATTAAAAACTGTTTAAAACACATTGCAACGGCAAAACAGTTACACATCTAACTATAAACTCATAGAAATTTTTAGAAAATAACTTTTTTTGAACAAAAAAACTTTTTAATTTTTGAAAAAAAAATATTGTTTAAACAATTTAATTATCAAAATGTACATCTTAAATTTTATTTTAATCAACTAAACTCATATAAATTTAATCAACTATATTTGTGGTTTAGTTATTAACCCGCTTTAAATTTAAAACAAGGCGATATCTTACTATCGATTAAATAGAATTCACTACATTACTCAAATTTACTACATTGCAATTTGTTTATTTTTTCATAATTTGTAATTTAACTTGGTTTCTCCATTTATAGCTCATCGTACTTTTTCTCATCGTACTCCTGTCACCGAAATATATGTCACGTGCCATAGGCATATTTCAACACAAAATGAAGAACTTACTGCTTTATTTTACATGGTAATATGCTTCAGAGATTAAAGAATATACAATAAGTTTCAAACTAATTCAGCAAGTAAAACGACAAAAATTCTAGTTATTCCGAATTCTAGTTCTAGCAAGAATATCTCCCCTTTATCTTAAAAGAGCAGGATATATCCCCCTTATTTAAGACAAAGGGGAGTGATAGATCATAGAGATAATCAAGGGAAATGTGCCCCCTGCTGATTTCTGGGGAAAAAGGGTATGCACACATGAATCTGTATACATATATGGACAAACGAAAAGTCAAGTGGTGGAATGTTTTGATGTTTTGAAAAGAAAGGAAATCAAACTTTTAAAGGTTTCTTACCTGTTTCTCTCTGAATGAGACAGCTTTTTTAAGTAAATTACAGCTTTTTTAACCTCTCAAATCTGACATAATTTCATAAACGCACATCAAATAATAATTTTTATGGAATTAATAATAATATTTATTAAAATATATTTTAATATCATTACTTAAAAATACAAATCATTATATTTATTAAAAAAATAAATTATAAGTATTGCTTTTAAAAACATTAAGGAAAACTTTCTTTCTCTATTATAATAAAATTAAACATTTCAAAGGGGTTGAACCCCTATATCCCCCTAGATACGGCCCTGTAATTATTACTGTAAGAGTACAGTGCATCAGATTCGGATCAGTGTATCAGTACCGGCACCCTAAATGCCGGGACTTTTCACCGGACTTGAACCAGACTTGTTTACAGTGTGGTGTAGGACACGATGCCATATATACATGTACAGTACCGAAAAGTAAAGGCAATTATAAAAGTGATCCTAAAGTTTTAGATTACAAATTCCCCATGATACAATCTTTGATTGATATGATACCCCATCTTTGATTTTTATGAAAATGGAAACATTAAATTGAACGCGACATATATCAAGTAGCAGTTATTCTCCGAGAATGTATTAAGATCTTTTATTTTTTAATATTCGTTTTTGCTGACTTTATAACAAATTTCTTAATTAAACAATAAAAGAAGTCGTATTTAAGAATTACAATGTTTCGGGTACTGTTTATTGTTTGTTAGCGGATATTATAATATAAAATTAGCAAAACATTCATACTTTAGTAAAACTTTTGGCCGTGAAATAAAACAAATTGAAACATCATTTGTTTGTTTAAATATTCATTAATTCGAACCAAGTATTTAACTATCCTCGAAAATAAATTTCAGTTGTATTATAAAGAGCTGAAACTTTTATTATTTGAAAAACTAGTAAAATAAACAGCTTTGTTTTATTTCTAAAAGAAAGAAGAAATTAATAACAATGTTGATTGGCACATGAATCTTATTTATTCCTAATTGATAGTATACTATTATCTGATTTAAATTTCGTAAATATTTTACTTAAATTCAAAAAAATTTCAGTGCATTCAATGATAATAAAAAAATAGGAATTTAAGTCGTTGTTTGTCAGTTAAATTGCTTTGAGTAATAATTTTAGATTAGTTTTTATGAAACTATTCATGCTCCATATAGCATGATTTCTTCTTACACAAATGAATTGCTTTAATGTATTTTGTGATGAAATCGTAAATGATTTTTTGTGACCTTAAAATTAATTATTAGATTTCATAATTTACTTTTACGGCATCATATTAACCAAATACAAGTATTGAAAAATAATTTATTGCTTTTGTTAAATTTTCAAATAATTCCAAACACACTGAAAAAAATTCATTTCTCTATCTGCATTATTTATAAAGTTTTGAACGTTGTTTGAAAAAAAAAAGGTTTCCAACAAAAACAAAAGTTTTTCACGTGCATACTTTTTTAATGTTTACATGTTATTTGAATCCCAATGGATTTTTTTTTTCTGTTTAAGATGGAACTTTAAGGAAATTTTTTTTCACAATCAGCCTATAATAAAATTGTGCATTGAATAAGCGTTTTGAAAATTATTAAAGCTTTTACAGTTTGTTATTTATATCTGTGCATTCGATATTTTTTGGAATTTTTTTCTTTTCAATTTTACATAAAGGGGACCATACAAATTGTCACAATTGATATATAAGTAAATGAACGAGCAAATTTACTGCAGGAACAGTAATGTTGAAAAATAAATTTCGCGAAGAATATTCCAGAAACTTACAGCTTTAAAAATTTTTGATAAAATTTTTAAATTTTTAAGAAATCTGAGCCATATTATTAATTTTTGAAAATTAATATTTTTATTAAAGTGTGCACAATAAAAATCTATTAATCATGTAACTGAAAAGATGTTTATTTTAACGTTATTAAAAACGCAAAAATAATAATTGTTCTGAGGATACTTTAACCCCTTAATCACTGAAGAGTTAAAATTAATTTATTTTTTTTAGATTTGGATGAGTTCTGGAATTTTAGTTGCAAGATTTTTTTATAAAATTCTTTTCTATTATGAAATGCAATTGATATTGTTTTATAATAACATGAAATAGTGTTTATTTTATTGAGTTATTACGAGATACATAATTAGACGAGAGACATAATACATACCGTCATGTGGGGCTACTTTGTGCAAATTCGAATTTGGCACTTTTCTAGTGTTGCTATTCAGTATTATGTTTTCTTC